CAGTGGTCCAGGATGCATGTGGTTGGCCTCATTCCTCCAAGTATCTTGTCCACATCCTCGGGTTTCACCAATTGAAATGAATCCATCAAAACTGGACAAGCAGGTGCTCGTGTTACATCCTCAGAGACTGCCATTAACATGGTATCCAGACCAGAACGGATCAAAGCGACTTTGTCTCCAAAGAACTGAGCAAAAGCTTCACAGCGAGAAGTCGAATCGTCAGGGTTCCCACCTTGAGCGGTGGGAATTAAAAGGCCTCTGACAATTCAGAACAGCTCAGCCGGACGGTTCTTTGCAGACGCAATAGTGGCCGCAAAGAAGGCCTTCTTTGCGGCTTTTATTGCCATGGCATATGACCTTAAAAAGGACACAAACCGTGTTCGATTTGGCTCGCTCGGATCCGAACGCCACACACTCTCTAGTTCCCTCTTCCTTTGCTTCATCGCTGCCAGCTCCTTGGTGAACCAGGGAGCTGGTTTAGCTCGGCTACTTGAGAGGGGACTTCCGGAGCGATCGTGTCAATTGCCCTAGTCATCTCCCCATTCCAGAGAGCGACCAGGGCCTCGACAGGATCACCTACCGAGGCGGCGGGAAACTCCCCAAGAGCCATCAGGAATCCATCCGGATCCATAAGCCTCCTGGGGCGGACCAACTTAATGGGTCCTCCACCTCTGCAGAGGTTAGGGGGCGCAGTGAGCCTAAATCTGACCAGGAAGTGGTCGGTCCATGGCAACAGAGAGCTGGTCAGCTCCTCGACCCCACCACCTTCCTCCCATCCCTGGCAGAAAACCAAGTCCAATGTATGTCCTGCACTATGAGTGGGGCCAGATACTTGCTGGGACAGCCCCATGGTTGCCATGGCAGACATGAAGTCCTGAGCCGCTCCTGAAAGGGCCGCCTCGGCATGGACATTGAAGTCCCCCAGCACAAGGAGCCGCTGGGATTCCAATGCCAGGCCTGAGACCACCCCTGCTAGCTCAGGTAAGGAGACTGTAGTGCAGCGAGGTGGGCGGTACACTAACAGAATCCCTATTCTGTCCCGGTCACCCAACCTCAAGTGGACACATTCAAAATTTGTTGACTGCGGGATGGGGCCCCTGGTCAGAGGGATGGAATCTCTATAGACCACTGCAACCCCGCCTCCCCGCCCTCCGGATCTCGGCTGGTGCTGCACGGAAAAACCTGGCGGGCAAAGCTGGGTCAAATTCACACCTCCAGTCTCGTCCAGCCAGGTCTCCGTGATGCACGCCAGATCTGCCCGTTCATCCAGGATTAAATCTTGGATGAAAGTTGTTTTCCATTGACAGATCTGGCATTCAACAGCACCACCTTCAATCCAGAGGTACCGCCATCCTGGTTACACCAGTTTACCATATCAGGAGACCGGTTTGGAATTACTAATGTTGTTACACGATCCCTAGGCCGAATTAATGGTCTCCTTTTCCCGCATCTCCCCTTCCCCACCACCACTTCTATGGGGGCCCCTCGGCTGGCGCAACACCCCCCCTCCATGCCGCATTCCATATCCAGAATCTCAATATGTATTTCATTGTTGGCAATTTGCTTTGTTGGGATCTCAACTTGCCATGGTCTTCTGTTCCCTTTATCTCCCCCCACCCGTGTTCTATCATTTCCCAAGATCTCCAGCTCGCTTTGTCCCCTGCCCCTTTCACAATTAACTAACAATAAGAATAGTAAATTCTAAGACAAGATGGAAGTGCCTTCTGTTCCCTTATGTCTTTGCTCTGGCTAGAGCAGCCCTTGGAGCCAGAAGGGGGCGAGGCCTCTAGTGATGATACAGACAGAAGACAAGATGGAGTCTCTTCTGTGCCCTTCTGTCTTGTTGGACATGGATAATAAAACCATGTTTTGTTGGACATGGATAATAAAACCATGAAGCTAGTTGTAATGATTTTCTGCCAAAGGATATAGAACAGTTTATGCTGATTTTTTTCCACATAGATTTGAAAAACTGGAGGTGAAGGAGAGAGGACCAGGATTAAGTCGTAATATCATTTTCAAAATTGAGTTGGGGATGAGTTAATCTAGTTAACTGACCTTGTTACAATGAACAAAGCCCAAGATACTCAACACCCAATCATATGCATCAAGATTCAGAGTTGAGGCTGCTATGGCTGCCTTACTAGATGTTCTCCATCTTAACACAGACTGGGGTCATGATTAAGGGGGGGTGGGGGGACCAGGATATAAATAAATGCGATAAAAATAAATAATATATTAGCATTCTTATTTAACTATTGGTGTAATAATAATATATTATAATATATTTATATTTATATTATTATATTAAACAACAACAGGCTGCCCCAACTTAGCTTCCAAGATTAGACAGGATATGTTATCTTGAGGGTCCTTTGGCCTTGTCAAAATAATATAAAAATAATAAATAATGCATTAACATACTATATAACTATTGGTATGATAATAATATATTATAGTATAATTATTAATTATAATATTATATTAAAACTGCAACAGCAGTAGCAGCAGCAACAGGTTACCCCAACTTTGCTTCCAAGATCAGACAGGATATGCTATCTTTACGATCCTTTGGCCTTATCAAAATGATATAGGTGCTTCAAGGTGCTGGTTTTGACCTACAAAACCCTTTATGGTTCTGGTCCAGTGTATCTGTCCGAACGTATCTCCCTCTACGTCCCACCCTGGAATTTGAGATCATCTGGGGTGGCCCTGCTCTCGACCCCCACCGCTATCACAGGTGGCCCCTCACCTGTGAAACTCACTCCCGGGGGAAATCAGGGCATCAACATCCCTCCTCGCTTTCAGGAGGAAGGTAAAGACGTGGTTGTGGGACCAGGCCTTTGGGCAACCAGACAATTAGATAAGGAAACCAGCTGGATAGGACTGAAAGGACTGACAATTGTGGAATTGGAATTTAAACTATGAGATTGGGAAATGCTGACCGTCAATGAGGTTTGTATTGGTTTTATTGCTTTTATGGTTGTTTTTGCCTATAATAATTATTGTTTTCTGTTAATTGTTGTTATTGCTAGAATTGCTGTTTGTGTTAACTGATGTTATTGTCTTTTGCTGTTATGTGATGCGGGCATTGAATTGTGCCTTGCTTTTGTAAGCCGCCCTGAGTCCCCCCGGGGTGAGAAGGGCGGGGTAGAAGCAACCGAAAAAATAAATAAATATAATAATAATAAACAATATATCAACATACTATATAACTATTTTGTATAATAATAATAATAATAATAATAATAATAATAATAATAATAATAATAGTATATGTTGTAGTGTAATTATTATATTATTATATTTAAACTTCAACAATAATCTCCCCCGACAGAGAATCCAAGATTAGACAGAATACGGTACCTTTAGGGTCATTTGGCCTTATAAAAATAATATAATAATAAACAATATATCAACATACTATATAACTATTGGTGTAATAGTACTAATATATTACAGCATAATTATTATTATATTATTATATTAAAACTACAGCAGCGGCAACAACAGGCTGTCCCAACTTAGCTTCAAAGATCAGACAGGATATTAGGGCCCTTTATCAAAAAATATAATAATAAATAATAAATCAACATACTATATAACTATTGGTGTATTAATAATAATAATAAATTATATTATATTTAAACTACTACAACAGGAAAAACAATAACAGGCTGCCTCAACTTAGCTTCCAAGATCAGACTGGATGTGTTACCCTTAGGTATATAACTACTGGTATAATAATATATTATAGTGTCAATATTATTTATTATATTATTATATTAAAATTACAGGATATTTTACCTTTAGGTATATAACCATTGGTATAATAATAATAATAATAATAATAATAAAGTGCAATTATTATTTATTGTATTATTATATTAAAACGACAGCAACAGCAGGCTGTCTCAACTTTAAGCTTCCAAGATCAGACACAGAATCTTTTACCTTTAGGTATATCACCATTGGTATAATAATAATAATAATAATAATAATAATAATAATAATAATAACAATAAAGTGCAATTATTATTTATTGTATTATTATATTAAAACGACAGCAACAGCAGGCTGTCTCAACTTTAAGCTTCCATGATCAGACACAGAATCTTTTACCTTTTGGTATATCACCATTGGTATAATAATAATAATAATAATAATAATAATAATAATAATAATAATAATGTGCAATTATTATTTATTGTATTATTATATTAAAACGACAGCAACAACAGGCTGTCTCAACTTTAAGCTTCCAAGATCAGACAGGATATGTTACCTTTAGCCTTATCAAAATGATCAGACAGGATATTAGGGTCCTTTGGCTCTATAATAATAACGTATTTCATACCTGCTTTTTCTCACCGTTTGATTTCACATAACATAATGTTTTTGGATGGGGAAAACATATTGCCCAGGATAACCTTTATGGATCTGGGGAGGGGCATCTACACTGGACAATTAACGCAGTTTGATCCCATTTGAACTCAATGCTCTGGAATCCAAGGAGTTGGGAGTTTTACAAAGCCTTTGGTCTTCTCTGCCAGAGCCCTAGCGACTCTCCCAATTACAAATTCCGAAAAATGAGCCATGTCAGTTCCAAGTGGTTTCAAACTGCGTTAAATGTACAGTATAGATGGACCCAGGAAGTAGAGGAAAGGGCTTCCGGCCCGCCCAGGATCTAGTAATGGCAGCGTTCATTTCCCCTCCTCTAGGGGCGCATCTATACTGGATAATTAACGCAGTTCAGAGTGTAGATCAGGCCTAGGCAAACTTGGGCCTTCCAGGTGTTTTGGACTTCAACTCCCACCATTCCTAACAGCCTCAGGCCCTTTCCTTTCCCCGCTCAGCCGCTTAAGCGGCTGAGCGGGGAAAGGAAGGGGCCTGAGGCTGTTAGGAATGGTGGAAGTTGAAGTCCAAAACACCTGGAAGGCCCAAGTTTGCCTAGGCCTGGCTCCCTTCTTCCCAGGCAGGCAATCCTCGCCTCTTCTTACCTTCTCCTTCTCCCTTTGTGCGTGAAGGCTTCACAGGAAGCAAGGCTCAAGGGCTTCCTTCTCCTCCCCTGCAAGAGGTCACGTGAGGAGGAAAAGGAAGGGCGGGGTCTCCTAGTTGTTGCTATTGCGATGGCTGCTGCTGGGCTGCACTGCCCCTCCTGGCAGGAGAAGCGGCCCGGGTTCTGCAAAAGGGCGCCTCTAGCGGATCCGGAGCCACTCCAGGAGGAAGGAGGAGCCCAGCAAAAGGGGGCGGGCCCAATAAGAGCTGGATCCAGCCCTTGAGCCCTTCTTCGCAGACCTAAACTCATGCAGCAAGAAGAGTTAGGCCTTGCATCTGCTTTTTTTTTTTTCCAAATTGGAATGTCACATCCTGATCTTGCAAAATCAGCATTTCAAAGCTTGACCCTGAATATCACTGCACTGCATGCAAAAGCGAGCCGAGGTTGAAAGCCTGTTTATCTTCTCTGTACATGCTTTTAGACTTGATATAATTTTATTTTAGGTTCTGTGTTAAATTTGATGTTGTATATATTGGTTTTTGGCACATGTGGGTTATTATGGTATATGTATTGTCGAAGGCTTTCATGGCCGGAATCACTGGGTTGTTCCAGTTGTTTTGTGGTAAAATTAGGTGCCTCAGCTTATATTCGGGTCAGCTTATACTCGAATATATAGGTAAGCACTGCACAATTAAACAGGAAATAACACTTTCAAACCAGGAACAGATTTTTTTTTTCCAAATTTTGTTACCTAATGTAATCTATAAAAGCACATGTTGAAATTAAATAGGTTTAAAGTGTCCAGGTAACGGTGCTCCATGCAGTCATACTGGCCACATGACCTTGGAGGTGTCTACGGACAACACTGACTCTTTGGCTTAGAAATTGAGATGAGCACCACACCCCAGAGTTGGACACGACTGGACTTAATGTCAGGGGACAACCTTTACCTAAAGTGTCACTAGATTCTTATGTCTTGTGTTGGAACAGAGATCTACAGCTGCCCTTTCCACAAAAGCCTTTAGTGATGGCATAGATAATGGGCTGTAGCGTATTTTCCCTAAATGTCCTAGAGAAAGCCTCTTAAAAGAATTATGACTGTTGGCCATGGCAGAATCCTTAAGCTCTGTATCCTTAAGCTCTGGGCAGGTGTGAAGCTGCTCAAATACTCCAAAGCCCCATCTTCACTGCCATATAATGTGGTTTGAAACTGCATTATATGGTCTGTGTAGGCTCATATAATGCAGTTCAATGCAGTTAAATTGCACAGTATGAATTTGCACTACTAGAAAAAAGACACCTGGAAGTACAGGCCTTCAACACCAAATAATACAGCAAGAGAGAAAATGATAGAAGTTTGCTTAATACAAATTCTTTTTACTAAGCAGCACACAATTAAAGTTCCTGAAAATGTTACTGAGTATGCATATTCTTACCACTTCCATAATTCAGTTGAAACATCCTGTTTACCATTCCATGAACGAACCAAAATCAATTCACATCATCCCTGTTCTGTCACAAGAAAGGCAAGGATCAAGGAAATGACAGCAGGGTACACCAAATTGGCTCAGAGTTTAAGCTCACAAACATTTTTCCCCCTAATGTTTATTTTTTTATTGAGCATTTTGTTAGCCCATGTGCAAGTTGTAATAGTACATTGAATTTTTGCAGCATGTATGTACTTAACATAAGCAGTCCAGCAGCTAACAAGAAAAGGAACCAAACATCAACAAAGAGAAAGAAAATACTGATGAGGGTAAACAAATTGAAATTGAATCTAGTCAAGACAGAGGTACTCCTGGTCAGTGTGTTGGGCAAGTGGGCTTATTAACAAAAGACCCTTCCCATGAATGTGTAGCAGAGTAACTCATTCAGCATCGGTGTGACCCAACACCAGTAGCCCAAAGTGATAAAAAAAACAAAAACACAGACCCATGTTATCTCTGCCATAGGAGACTTTTCTTTATAGCAAAATAATATGGTTGCACTATTTACAAAAACAAGGTTTCCATAATATGAATAAAGTTCTTTATATTTCCTTCTTTGCTTCCACGCTGGGCTTCTTTCTGATGCAGATAAACAGTTTGCTCTCACAGAGCCTCTTCTCACACTGAAGTTTCACAGGAGCTTCATACAGTAGCTTTTTGCACACAGCAACCTTCACACACGGTGGTCTTCAATCTGGGGCTTCTTCTCACCGAAGCTTCTCACATCAGACCTTCTCAAACCGAGGCCTTCTAACACTGAGCCCTACATCACGCTGAAACATCATTGTCTTCTCCCTTCAAACGAGTGCATTGTTCCAAGACATGAACATTAGCCAGTTTACCAGCCAATAATATGCCCCATACGAAACATCAAAAATAACCCAAAATCTAAGCCATAAATGACATTGACAAATTGCAGCTGTGTGGAGGAGGCACAGGAGGCTGGAACAGGAAATCAACTTCAGCCACCTCTAAGAGCTAGAGAGCGCAACTGTATTTGTTGATGTGGTTGTATTGTTCTACATATGCTGTTTAATCCAGTGGAACAAAAAGAACTACTTAGAAAGTCAGCTGTGGGTTGATCTTAAGAAATAAGGGGAAGATCACACTGCACCCCTTCCTAGATTTGGAGGACCCGAAGATGGTAGTACATGCACTGGTAACCTCAAGGTTGGAGCTCTTCAATGTGCTCTACATTGGACTACCTTTGTACCAAGTTCGGAAACTCCAGCTGGTTCAAAATACGACATCCAGATTCGTTACAGGAACATCTAGGAGTGAACATTTTACACCTATCCTAAAGTCACTCCATTGGCTGGCAATTAGTTTCCAGGCAACTTACAAAGTGTTGGTTTTGACCTTTACAGCCCTACATGGTTTGGGTCAAAATTACATAAAGGATCACACAATCTGTCCAGAATACTGAGGTCCCCTGGAAGGTGTCTGCTCCATTCTACCAGAACCCAACTGGCCACCATCACCCAGAGGACCTTTTCATTGGCTGCCCCAAGAAGAGCTCTGACAGCTAAATGAGCTGTTGGAATTGAAAAACCATCTACAGACCTGTCTGTTCCGGCAGGCCTACTGAGACAGTTCTTAAACATGAATTTTAACTTAATCCCTGTCTTGTATATTTTAATACGTATTTTATAGAAATATGTCTTAATATGCATATTTTATAGAAATAGATTTTATATGTGTATTTGTGGTATTTTTATAATATCAACGTGCTTTAATTATTTTGTAACCTGCCTAGAGCCACGAGGAGAGATGGATAAGAAATAAAATTATTATTATTATTATTATTATTATTATTATTTTATTGACAGAAAAACACAGTATGTCACAGCAAATGAGAGCTATATGCTGGATTTTGTATCACAAAATCACAAATCGAACACTTCCCAAGCATCTAGGACTGTGTGATGTATTTTCAGATTATGATGATTATGATGATGATGTTGATGATTAGTAGTATTATTATTATTACCTTGTGTGATTTTGGAAGCTAACAGCATTATGCCGGGTTAGCACTTGGATAGGATATCACCAGGGAGTCCTTGGGATCTCCAAGTAGGTCTGAAAACGAAAAGTGACACTTTAGAACCAGATTAATGGCCCTTCTCAGCTTCCTATTTTCTTGGGTGACTTATCTTTAATGTTTCTGGGACCAACATTCGTCCAAGGATCATCATTTTGAATAGCACTGTTTGAAAGGACAGAGAGGCACATTTTCTTATACACAATTGTCATCTGCGCTTATCTTTCATTGAGGAAAAAATAACTAGTTAGTCCCCCACATGGTCACAGTTTCTTTCTAATGGCAACAAGTGGTGTGATGTGGCCTGAAGCTTACTTTGTAGTGGCTTTTGAACCCCCGATTTTCATTTCCTCAAATGCCTGGACTGGAAATCAGCTTTGGCACATTATCTTCTCCTTCCCTCAAATGACAGTGGTTTGTTTAGAAAGCCTGTCTGGATAAAGGAACTGGGAATGCTACTGTTTCCTTCCTTCAAATGAATCAGCTCTTTCAAAAATAAGACAACTTCTCAGCCAAGAATATGACTCACGCTCATGCCAACCATCAAACATAATATAAACAGAACTGAAACAAAAAAAAAGTCAACATTTAAACCATGAGCTGCATTGTCAAATTGCAGCCATAGGGAGGAGGTACAGGGGGCTGGGGTTGGAAAACATCACCAGCCCCATCTGATGAGACAGAAAGCACAACTGTACTTGTTGATGTGGTTGCATTGCTCAGCATCTGTTGTTTAACACGGTGGAACAAAAACACCACATAGAAAGTCAGCTGTGGATTGGTTTTAAGAAATAAGGGCAAGGTCACACTGTACTTACTTTGTTGGTGGAACACCATCGTTCCATCTAAATATGAGAATGTCCTGCAGATATTTCCTGATCATTCTTTTCTATGGAGCCAGAGCAGGTAAGTGAATTCTTGAATTCTAGAGGGCCATATAGGATGTTAAACACCATCAGATAAGAGAGCCAAAATGCAGCCAGACTTGAAAACTGGTTGGTATTTGTAGCAGAAAAGCAGCTGTGTAATCTTGTGGTCCAGACCATGGACTGCTCCTTAGTATTAATCTTATGTGTATTTGAACTGGAAGGCAATTGCTAAAATGACTGCTTTATGCCTCAGGAGATAATTTTTGTCTAACTAGGGCTGCATCCACACTGTAGAATGAATGGAGTTTGTCACCATTACCATGGCACAGTGTTATGGAATCCTGTGAGTTGTAGTTTCACGAGGTCTTGAGAATATAAACCAAAATTATCAATTTATTTTTTACATAGATAATTTGGGGGGGGGGGGTTCAGGAAATTAGACTATCATTTGTATAAAGGACAAATTTAAAGGCTCAAAAAGTTTACAGTATCACAAGGCTTTTTATTGTTAGAGACATTGATGGTTTAGGACAGGGGTGTCAAACTCACTTTCATCGAGGGACATATCAGCCTTATGGTTGCCTTCAAAAGGCCATTGAATCCATGCACGGAGAATCCATGGATACAGAGAGCCAACTATTGATCTTTTTTCTTTTACTTAGAGGTCTGTGCTCTTTACACAGTTTGGGTCCCCAAATGTTATCCGCCATGTGGATTGGGGATAATGGAAATTACAACCCAATAGCACTTGTGGTTCTGAGGTTGGGGGAAAGTTAAATGACAATGTAAAGTCAGACATCACATCTACAAGCCTTGTATCTAAACTCAAGTCCCATTCTCCTGGCTAAACAGAACGATCTGAAGCCTTGCAGATGTTACAGTATTACACTCCCATCTAGTCATGATGTTTAATGATGAAGAATACGGGAGTTGTAGTCCAGCATTAAATGACATAGTGGACCTTAAGTGTGACACATGTAGTTTAGGACACTGTTCCCCAAATTCTGGCCCTCCGGGTGCTTTGGACTTTAACCCAATGATTGGACAATGATCAGGGATTCTGGAAGCAGAAGCCCAAAACACTGGAAGACCAGAGTTTGGTAGAAAACAAAAGATTTATAAAATTTGAAGAGAAACCAGAAACTCCCAAGTATTTTGCAGCAGCAACAATAGCTGCTAAATGCCCCCATTTCATTAGAAGAAATTCTAGATGTAATTACAAAAACAAAGATAAATAAAGTTCCAGGTACTGATGGTTTATTGGCAATATATTATTGTTTCAAAAATGGTTATATTCCACTGAAACAAACATGTAATTTGATCCTAAAATGAAAAAAAAACAACCAGAAGCATGGGAGAAGGCAACAATAACATTAATACCAAAGAAAATCAAGATCTGACAAGTGAACAATTATAGGTCTATCTCACTTTTAAATAGTGATTATAAATAATTTAGCTCAATCTTAGCAGAAATACTCAAAAGGGTCCTCCAAGAATGAACCCAAAATGGCTTTCTATCTAAAAGACAATTGTGAAATAGCACATAAGAAGTTATATTCATTCTAGTATTGTAGAGCATCACAATGAAAACCAAGTAATGTTAGTATTTCTGGATGCTGAAAATGCCTTTGATAAATTGAACTGGGAATTTTTCATATATCTACTAGAAAAGATGGAGTTTGGGACCAATAATATATATAATCAATTTACAACAATCAACATGTAAAAAACCTAGTAAATGGAGACTTAACATGTTAATGCCTCATGGAGGTTGCCCACTCTTCCCACTACTGTTCATTCTCTCAGTGGAAATATTAATGTGGAACATTAGAGAACGTGAATGCTTCAAAATACTACAATACAAGATCAAACCTATAAAACATGCAGATGACCTGATAATAGTCTTGGAAGAGTCCTTGACCGGTATAGAACCATTATTGGGAATGTTACAAGAATATGGAGAAGTGGCAGGATTCAAAATTAACAAGCCAAAAACAAAGATAATAAAACCAGAGTTTGCAAAACATGAAATCTGAATATTCTGATTTCCTCTACTGCAAAATACATAACGATGAAATCTTAACATCTTTTCCTTTCTCTGTGTGTCCATCCAGCCTTCTTTCATCTCCCAGCAGGACTCTGGCCTTTTCGAATGCTGCAGACCATATCATTCCAAAATACGAGTGCCACTGAAATAATGGGAACAATTGCTTTCCTGGGAGACGTGGAGACCCATTTGCTTGACACCCACACTTGGAAGATTAAATTCCTCCAACCATGGGCCAAAAGTGCCTTTGCGCCTTTAAAATGGGAAATACTGGAACAGTTCTTCAGAGTTTCCTTTATAGACTTCAAGAAATTCATCAACAACATAGTTGCAGCTTCAAATTACAGCTGTGAGTACAAGAGTTATGACTAGTCCTGTTCTTCAGGATGTGCTGCCAGCCTTCTCTTGACGAAAGGATATGTGCCTTCGTCATGAGTTGGGAATTCATGGTATGTAGGCCATTTGGGTGCTTCCAACTCTTTCTATGGCCCTGACTGTCATTCATTGCAAAAGAATATGGATGGAGCCTCCCTTATCTGTGATTATGGAATAAAAAAATGCTTCAAAATATGAAATTATTCACATACAGGTTGAGATAGTAACAGTTTTGCCTTGTTTCATGCACAATAGTATTAACAATCTTGTGTATTAAATTACCTTCAGGGTATACCTATGAGATGTATGTGAAACATAAGAGAATTTCATTTAGATCTGGGTCTCATTTCTAAAACGACATCCAAAACACTTCTAATCATAAGCATTTCAGAGAAAGGGTACTCAACCTATAATATTTTTGGTTCAAAGCACAGAGAATTGGCTGCTCCTAGAAGCCTCCAAAAGGGCAATTCTGTCCAAAACCAAAAAAGTAACCTTGTTTTATGGAATGTTTCCTTTTAAACTTTATCTGAATCTCCGATTCTTTTGGATATTATGATAAAATCATTCTAAAATAGAATAGAGTATCCCATAATGTATTTTGGCCCTCAGACCTACAACTGGGTCACAATCCTCAGCCTTTGACTATCATATGAGAGAAGCTTTTAATTTTTGCAGTCTTCCTTCCACATTTGTGCTTTTGACTTTGCAGATTTGAACGTTCACAGATTTGACTACAATGTTATTTAGTAATATGTAGATCCTTCAGTGTGATTCTGTAGTCAATCTCTTGTGGTCATGCTGGAGGACCTAGAGGTTTCTAGGGAGAACATGTCTCTAGGGATCTTTAGATCAGCTTCCAGTTGGGATTCAACCAGAACATCACGCTGAAAGACAGATTTTCCTAGAGAGGTGTTCTCTCAAGTAAAGAAATAGCAATGTCTTTCTTCACAATTTTTTACTTCAGTGGGAGTCCTGTGCCCCTAACCTTAGTGAAATAGAGGAGTGACTGTACTGTCTGACTCCACCATTCTCCACCACCACCAGCACATTATATTTTATTTCCAGTTTGTTTCTGGCTGTGCAGCCAACAGAGTTTCAAAGTGGGACAGAAGAGGGAGGAGAAAAGGGGAGGAGATCCATGCGTTTTTTACTGTCAACATGACCTGTCCTGGTTGGGGATTTATAGGTTTGTTGCCCAAAAATATTTGTCCCAAGCTTTGAGGAAATCATTCAAAGGCATGAATGTGGACATTCTCCATAGAGGCCATATTGCACGTCAGTGTCTTGGGATGAAATATCTGAAAAGCTGCCTTTGGTATATATTCCATGTGTGGAATGTGTCTCACAGAAATAATCCTTAAGCTTTGTCCTTCTCTCCCAAAATATCTGAAGGGAATATTAACCATTCCTACTATAGAGAAAGATTCCTATCTCGTTCTTCCCATTATTTTCCCTTGTTTCCCATTAACTGATTGTTTCCACATTTTAACCTTCAGATCCCGTTGTTATACAGTCCTTCCTTTTTTGTGAGATTGGGACCAATGGGACAAAGAGAGGTTTTTATCAAGGTGCTGCAAATGGATATGATGTTCTTGGATACAGTATTGACAATGCAACTTGGATTGTCCAAAAAGACAATAAGCTTGCTGTTGCCGTTCAAGATTTCCTCAATAGGGACAAGGGCACAACTGCAAACATGCGCAGCCTGCTATTGAATGAGTGTATTGACATTCTTGAGAGCTCTCTCAAGACTGGAAATGAAACTCTGCATAGGCAAGGTAAGACTGGATTATAGCATTTTATAAATGTTCTTACGTAATTCTAAAGGTGCCAGATCCCTTTGGATCTTGGAAGCTAATGAGAGCTGGCCCTGGTTAATACTGGGATGGGGGGCCACCAACAAATAGTAGGGGCTGTAGGATCTATTACTGTGGATGGAACTACCAAAAACCACCTGTGAGAATTCTTTGCCTTAGAAAAAGCTTTTACATTCTTACAATCACAGTAAGTTGAAATGGAGCTTGAAGGCATAGGAGCTCATATAGTGTTGTTGAATAAAGAATATAGTGGTCTTTGGAGATTATATTTCCAAGGAAGAGTTTCAAACGATGACCCTAGTGGTTGTGTGAACAATGTTATATTCCAGAAGGATAAGCCCAGAATTTAATGTGCCATGAATCCCAAAAACCTCTCTGAACTCTTCTGTTTTCCAGAGAAACCTGTTGCTGTGGTCTTTGCCCAGGAGCCTCTTGCAACCACTGACTCCCTCCTACTAGTTTGCCGAGTGACGGGTTTCTATCCCCACCTGATCAACGTCTCCTGGCTTCAGGACCAAGTGGCCTTGACCAGCTCAAGGATCAATTCCACCACCATCTTGCCTAACTATGACCTGACCTACCAGATCAGGAGTTCTCTGGCTGTTAAGTCAACGGAGACTTCACACAGTTATGTTTGCAAGATACAACACAGCAGCTTTGATGGGAAAAGTCTTGTCATCCCGTGGGGTGAGTTCTCTGACACAGTTTGGGTCCCAAATGTTATCCGCCATAAAAGACTCAATACCCCAGGGATATTAAATCGACCCGCTCCCCCCTGACTTTCAAAAAAATAATAATAATAAAGACCTGGCTCTTTGAACAAGCTTTTGAGAATGCAGCGGAATAAATAACACGGAACTATGAATGATGAACATGGAATAGCCAGACGATGTTACAAGATGACACCGATTATTACAACTTCAAAATTCAAGGTCAACGCCCACCAAACCCTTCCAGTATTTTCTGTTGGTCATGGGAGTTCTGTGTGCCAAGTTTGGTTCAATTCCATTATTGGTGGAATCCCAGCAACTACAACACCCAAATTACAAAATCAGTCTCCCCAACCCCACCAGTATTCAAATTTGGGCGTATCGGGTATTTGTGCCAAATTTGGTCCAATGAATGAAAATGCATCCTGAATTTCAGATATTTACATTACGGTTCATAACAGTAACAAAATTACAGTTATGAAGTAGCAAGGAAAATAATGTTATGATTGGGGGTCAGCACAACATGAGGAACTGTTTTAAGGAGCTGCCGCATTAGGAAGGTTGAGAAACACTAAGTTTAAGCAGCAATGCTGGAGAGTGCTTGAAGACCCTTAGCTAAAGAAACTTAAATACAAGATTGGAAACTTGACTAGGCTTTTCTGTTGCTTTTCCTTGTGGAATCACGTTTGTTTTTTTCTGTTTGTTTCTTTCCACATTCTCCAGAAGGGAAGCACAGATATAGAGTAACTGTAGCAATAGTCTTGCTCATGGCTTCAACACTCGCTGTAGTTGCTGGGGTGTTACTCTATCTGCAGAAGAAACATCGGTGAGTAGTACAGTGTTGGCATTATGGATTTGACAGGCCTTTGGTCTGATCCAGAATGGTTTTTCCTTATATTCTGAACAAAATGGGGACTCTTTCCACTTTCTACCCACTAAAAAAAAAATACGGGATTGAGATAAACCCAGTGCTAACATTCACCTGCAGGGAGTTGGAACTGCCAATTTGATGACTTATGGATTTGATTAGCATGGTCTCTCAAGGCATCTCTAGGTTTTCTAGTGCAACTCTGTGTTCACCCTCTGATGGACAGTGACAATAAAATCGCACTGGGACACATAGGACGTTATCACAAAGGGAAAAAAACCATCTCTGACATTTTGCATATATGTCCCTATGGGTATGATCATATGACTCACTGTCCCTTTTGTCTGCAACCTATAGGGTTTGGAAAGGCATTACATTTTTAGAGATCGTAACCTTTTGGAAAACCAGAATCTCTGTAACGTTTTGCAGAAAAATGGCATTCTCAACCATTTGAAAATCATAACCTCTTCCAGAGAGGAGCCAAAAACTCATTTGACTAAAATCTTCTCTTCAGTGGTATATATCCACATGTACTTATGCAAGGCAATTTGGTTTTCAGCTGTTAGACTGATTACCTAGTTATCTCTGATCTGTTAGGGACAGAGATTATGCCAATGCACAAAATATAGTAGTTCTTTAGAAGTGTTCTTTTCAGTGCCCCAAAACATCTACTCTCCCATAAAATAACTTGTTACTATATCATGCATTCCATTGCATCCTTTGGTACTGAGGATATGAGTGTTCAATGGAAGATGAATGTTCTTGTGTTCATGCTCAGATTATGCCAGTCATTATGACTAGTCTGTAGTCTGCATGCTGTAAAATGTTTCCCAGAATATAGTACATTAAACAGTGGTCATTTGAACAGTGAATATGGCAAGGGTTATCTAGAGGTGGACACTGATGTATCTGCTGCGTATTTTATCGCTCCTAGCCTATAGAGATCCATTTATCTGCAGCCTGAAAATAGTTTTTAAAACCCCAAAAGTTAATTTTGCCATTTTGGATGCAATTTTCTGTTCTCATTCCAGACAAAATGAAGAGATCAGCCAAGCAATCTCAAAAACTGTAAGTCAGTAACAGGGGATGACAAAGAATCAGAAAGTGATGTCGAACATGAATTTGGGGGGCCCTGCCTAGGCAGAGACTGGCCAAACCCAAAAAGAGGATCCGGAATACCTGGCGAGACAGCAAGCACCAAAGAAGATTTTTCCCTAATTTTTCCCAAAATAAAGTCTCACCAAGTTGAAGGAAAGCCACCAAGATGTTTATTTCATTCCAGCTGGAACGGATGACGACCACAATAATCTGCCCAGGAGCTGACATTATTCACTGGGCAGAAAAACACAATATTTATAGCCTTCAGATTCAAAAGTTCCCATGCCCCCCCCACCCCCCTGAGCTGGCTTTGTTATGATTGGCTGTGACGTGAGCAAACCAGGAGGAGATCCAATGAGGGCCCTGGCCTTGCTTTTGGCTGCCCAACCAATGAGGTGGAAGGGAGGCGGGTAACAGGGAAACAATGAAGAAATGTCTAGCTGACTGGATTAAGAATGGCCGGTGTTTGTCAAATGACCCAGCGATAGCTTCAGGCTCTCAAGCCCGGACTGAGTTATTGTTCTGTTTCTTGAATTAACATTTTTGTCTGTCCCCAAGAGGCCAGGTCCTTTGTTTTTACTATCCTGTGATATGGAGTTCATTGATGAAAAAGAGATGAGTTTTGGAGATCCAGGTGTGGCACAGCAGGGAGGCAGTGACAAATTCCCAGTTCCTTGCAGATGAGGAAATGTCCTTTGTGTTGGGTCTATAGATTCCATTAATCTGGAAGGCCTAGCTATAAGCCCTCCGAGGTCCAGATAGATAGAGTCATCTATCTATTGTCCATGCAAATGGATCTGGTTGAGTCCTTTGTTAGGGGATTATTAGCTCAGGAAGTTTGGAAACTCAAAGAGCCATGAGTTGCTGGTTCATGAAAAGGTTGTTTACCTATAGACATACATACATATAGGGAATGAGGAATGGGGCAAGGGAGCATATACAGAGTTCATAGGAAAAGGGGAACTCATGCAGGGTCTAAGGGGAAGTCATGTCAGCCCCCTCAAAGTCCATAAAAGTTCATAAAGTTTGGCAAGAGTTTATAGAAGTTCCTATAAAGTTCATGAAAGTTCATAAGAACTCATAAGAGTTCATGGGGGAGGGGTGCATGGAAGCTCAGGGGAGCACTGAGTAGTCAGAGTCCATTCATAAAAACAGGAGGAGAGATAGGGGATTATGGGATCAATTCAGCCTTGTGTCCTTGGCAAAACTATTGATTTCCTGATTTTGAACCATCTTTTACAAAGCCCAGGAATATATATATTCCTGGGCTAGTCTATTTGAATATATTGTTTCTGTGGAGTACCATCATTTGACCCTCCTCAAACACTTTTGATTTCATTTGATTTTGGAAGCTAACATCACCAGGCCTGGTTATCAATTAGATCAGTGTTTCTCAGCCTTTCTCATGCCATTACCCCTTAATACAGTTCCTCCTGTTGTGGTGACCCCCAACAATAACATTATTTTAGTTGCTACTTCATAACTGTAATTTTGCTACTGTTATGAATCGTAATGCAAATATTTGATATGCAGGATGTATTTTCATTCACTGGACCACATTTGGCACAAATACCCGATAGACCCAAATTTGAATACTGGTGGGGTTGGGGAGGGGATTGATGTCATTTGGGAGTTGTAGTTGCTGGGATGTATAATTCACCTACAATCAAAGAGCATTCTGAACTCCACCAAGGATAGAATTGAACCAAACTTGGCACACAGAACTCCCATGACCAACAGAAAATACTGAAAGGGTTTGGTGGACATTTACCTTGTGTTTGGGAGTTGTAGTTCCCCTCCATCCGGAGAGCACTGTGGACTCAAACAATGATAGATCTGGACCAAACTTGGCATGGATACTCAATATGCCCAAATGTGAACACTGGTGGAGTTTGAGGAAAATAGACCTTGACATTTGGGAGTTGGTAGTTGCTGGGATTTATAGTTCACCTACAATCAAAGCATTCTGAACTCCACCAACGATGGAATTGAACTAAACTTGGCACTCAGAAATACTGTGACCAATAGAAAATGCTGGAAAGGTTTTATGGGCGTTGTTCTTGATTTTTGGAGTTGTAGTTCACCTACATCCAGAGAGCACTGCAGACTCAAACAATGATGGATCTGGGCCTAACTTGGCACGAATACTCAATATGCCCAAATGTGAACACTGGTGGAGTTTGGGGGAAATAGACCTTGCCATCTGGGAGTTGTGGTTGCTGGGATATATAGTTTACCTAGAGTCAAAAAGCATCCCGAACCCCATCAACAATAGTATTGGGCCAAACTTCCCACACAGAACCCCTGTGACCAACAGAAAATACTGTTTTCTGATGGTCTCTGGTGACCCCTCTGACACCCCCTGGCGACCCCCCCAGGGGTCCCGACCCCCAGGTTGAGAAACGCTGACTTAGATGGAATATCACCAGGGAAAGATCTGGGAATTCTAGGTATGTTTGGAAATGAATTCTTTCTGAAAGCCTGAATAATGTGCCAAAGGTGATTCTCACTTCCTTCTCCATGCAGAGTTTTGAAACATAGAAGTCATTTGAGGGAATGAAAATATAGGGTTTCAAAGTCACCACAAACCAAGTATTGAGAGATCTTATACCACATGTTGCCATTATAAGGAAGCTGTGACCTTCAAAATAATAATAAAAAATTCTAATAAATATATAGTAATAATAAATATATAGTAATAATAAATATATAGCAATAACAAATATATAGTTTGGCACATCATCTTCTCCTTCCCTCAAATGATAATCCCAGCTGGCCATGGGTGTCTCGGACCTTTAATGAGTTGTTTCAAAACTCTGCCCAGGAAAAGGAACTGGGAGTCAACGTAGGGCACATTATCTGCCTCACAGGAAGAGCTAGAGAGCACAACAGTTCTTGCTGATGTGGTTGCCTTGTCTCTACTTCTGTTGTTTTGTTCAAGGAAACAAGAGAAACTGCTTAGAAAGTAAGCGGTGGAAAATACATTTATCACCCTTCCACCGTTGAGTCATTTGGTTCTATAATTTGCGCAAGATTGGCTGCTGTTCAAAGATTGGTCCTAAGAAACAAGAGCAAAGTCACACTGTTTACTCTGCTTGCGACACACTATCTTTCCATCTGTATTTGAGGATGTCCTGCAGGTGTTTCCTGATTATCCTTTTTTGTGGAGTCAGAGCAGGTAAGTGAATTCTTTAACGCTAAAGAAGCATGTTAAAAACCATCCAAGAAGAGAGTAAAAGTGTTGAGTATTGCTTGGCTTTCCCCATAGAATAGTGTCTGAATAATATTGCGACCCAAAACATGAATGGATCTTTAGCATGAATCCTCATTTTATTCCAAAGGCAAAATATTTTAACTTGCAGATTATTATTGGCATGACTGTTTTATGCAGCAGGTGAAATTTGGTCCAATTAGAGGTGTGTCTGTAGGATTTATGTAGTTTGACTCAACTAATTGCAATGGCTCAATGCTGTGGAACAAGTATGGGTAAACTTGGGCCCTCCAGGTGTTTTGGACTTCATCTCCCACATTTCCTAATAGCCTCGGGCTCCTTCCTTTTTGCCCTCAGCCACTTAAGCTTAAACCAATGAAGGCTGTCACTTGACTCTGGCTTTCCACCCAAAATGAAAAGGTATCATTAAGATGCTTGAACCCTATTATGAATGCAATGACTTGATTCATCTGAACATTAGGAAGAACTTCCTGACTGTGAGAGCTGTTCAGCAGTGGAACTCTCTGCCCCAGAGTGTGGAAGAGGCTCCTTCTTTGGAGGCTTTTAAGCAGAGGCTGGACGGCCATCTGTCGGGGGTGCTCTGAATGCAATTTTCCTGCTTCTTGGTAGGGGGTTGGACTGGATGGCCCACGAGATCCCTTCCAACTCTTTGATTCTACTGCATGATTCAGACGCTTGTGTAGATTTAAAACAGCAGGTAAATTTTGCTCCATGCCAAGAAGATGCTTTATCTCCTGGTGTTTCCTGGTGTTTTATTTTGAATCTGAGGCTGGATCCACAGTGCCCTAAAATTCAGTTCCAGAATGTGGGTTAACGGCATCGATCAGGATTATACAGCAGTGTAGACTGGTATAATCCAGTTCAATACAGTTAATACACATTCTGAAACTGGATTACAGGGCAGTGTAGATCCAGCCTGAAACACACAGGAGTACAGTATGCTTTTTTGTTAGATGGTTGGCAACTTGAAAGCAAATAGAAGTGGAATAACATGTTTTGCTTCTCACTACGCTTCTAGACTCGGCTGATATTTTGCAATGGTGCTACTTCATTCATAGAATTTTCATGTTATATGTATCTGTGTATGTATTTGTGTGTGTGTGTAGGTCCAGTTGGAATCTTCGTAATTCAGAATAAATTCGGAAAAATTACCTTTTTGAAGTGATTTTAAACTTTTTTAGGAAACTGGAAGTCCCTTTGCCCTTCTGAAGCTAGTATTGCCATTTTTCTTCCAACTCAGGAAGTGAGTCGGAAATTATTCTGGTCCCTGGCCTCGGCTCAAGCCAAAAAAGCCAGATTTAAACCGGGGAAGGCTGAATTTCCTCCCTTTGCTTTCCCGGCTTCTGCCTCAAGACAGAGAAGACACTTTAAAACAATTAATTAAATTATTCGGAAGTCTCGGAAGTTTAGAAAAGTTTTGAACATTTTTTTCTGTGAAAATCAGAATTGATTTAGAATCGAACCACCGGCACCCCCTCCATTTTTTTTTGGATCAAACAAGCCATACACACACACACACACACACACACACACACACACACACACACATACATATACACACACACCAAAGGAAAAAATCCATTATGGAATAAAAGAGGGACAACTTATACAATTACACAATATCCCAGAGTACTTGTAAGATATCAGTACAAACACAAAACAATCTATGCGTAATGTCAAAGTGTATTATCAAGAAAACATATAATATTCTATTTACCAAAATCCCCAGTACAAAGCTCAATTCAGTGGTACACAGAAATCAAAAGGAGCAACCGCTCTCAAACGTAACAGTTCTGGGTTTGGATAGGGATTCCACTGTGTATAGGCTTCAGGGATACATTCAATGCAAAAAGTCATATAAACAAAGTAAGTATAGAGTCATGAGGCTATATGTAAGCTGAAGACAATAATGAAGATGAAGCGTCACTCTCAAAACAATCTTCATGGAAAAGATCCAACTCAAGTCCAGTGAAAAATGGAGCACTGCTTCTCAAAATAAGTCTTCAAAGAAAAGTCCCAATGGCATTCTACAGGGGTGCCCGGGTATTTTTGTACCCTGTTTCGGGGAAAGCAATCCCCTTCCTCAGGAGTTGATAAATTCAGCAACTCTAGACTCTTATCTATAACAAAACATAACATCACATAGAGTAACAAGTATTTTCCAGCACAATTACAGTAGTGAAGATAATGGATACATCAAACATATAACATATACTCACATCATGCCAGGTAGCTAATACAAAAAGTGACTCTGCTAGAAGTAAATTCACACTGCGAGTAATTCTGAAGGGTCATCCACAGGTTTATAAAGAGTAATCAGAAACTTAAAGGAAACAGCTCAAATTAAGTGACTCGTTAAGTCCTTGAGGGGAAAGGGTTTTCAACTTAAAGATCCAGAACATTTCCCTTTGGGATAATATTTCTTCCAAATTCATATGGGGTTTTGGTGTGATGCATTCCAGAGCACAAAATTTGAGGGAATTGGATGAATGTTTGTGTTGTGTAAAGTGTGAATATAGGAGGGACTCCATAGATAAACATTTTATTCTAGATTTATGTTCAGAAATTCTAATTCTCAGAGGTCTTGTTGTTTTTCCAATATACCATAAACCACAGTCACATGTTAGAAGGTAGATAAGATTACTGCTGTTACAATTGGAAAAATGTTTGAGCGTGGTGTCCACTTTGTTCCTATAGTTGTGTACCTCCTTAGTTTTCCATGATTGCGGACAACATTTACAGCGTCCACAAGGGTAATGGCCTCTCAAAGTGCTTTTAGGTGTAGTAGTAGATGTGGTTAAATCTGTATGGATTAACAAGTCTCTTATATTTTTAGTACGCCTATTACCGAAAATGGGTGGTTTTTGGCAACCTGGAATATCTTGAAGAAGATGCCAGTGCTTTTTGATGATTCGGGTAATCTGTTTGGAATAGTGCGATAGTTCTTGTGTCCAAATAATTTGATTTTTTGTGGGTTTGGGGCATTCTTTCAGTAAGGTAGCCCTATCTATTTTATCAGCTTTGGTTAATGCTTTTCTTACTACATGTTTGGGGTAGCCTCTATTTCTGAACTCATGGCTTAAAGTGACACTTTCCTGAATAAACTGTTCCTTGGTGCTTGAGTTCCGTTTAAGTCTGAGGAGCTGTGAAAATGGAAGATTGGTTTTTAAACTAAAGTGGTGGAAGCTGTTGTAATGAAGATAAGAATTTTTATCTGTGGGTTTTCTAAAGTTCTTGACTAAAAGTTTATTGTGATCTTTATAGACTGTAACATCCAGAAAATTAATATGTGACAGGTTGAAATGACTGGTGAACTTAATAGACGTATGTATGGTGTTGATCCAATTAGAGAAACCTACTGTGGCCTCGGTTGATTTAAATACCATGAATATGTCATCAATAAATCGTCCATAATATATAATATTGGTGTGATACATATTTAAAGATGGATTTAATAATACAGTGTTCTCTAAATTTGCCATAAATAAATTGGCAATTGAGGGGGCCAATGGACTGCCCATTGCCACACCAAAGACCTGAAAGTAAAATTGATTTTGAAAACGGAAATAATTTTTCTCTAAAACTATATCCAACAGGTCCATAAGGAAATGTGTGGGTGGATGTAACTTGGTTCTGTTATGGAGGACATTCTCTATGGTGGTACGATAGTATGTAGTATGTAGTATGTACATACTACAGTAGTATGATAGCAAATGGCATTGCATACAAAACAGTGCTATACAAACAACTTATAATTTTACAAAAAAATGAAAATTGAAAATAAGAGGCATAATTAATCATTTTCTTTGCCATATGCCCTATGGGAATATCATAAACTCCCATTTAGGATTCTCTTTTTTTTTTTGTCCTTACAACTGCCCTTCAACTAGACATGCCAGATAGAATGGGATATGTCTGAATATTCCTGCTCATATACAAAGACATAAAATGTATTAATCTATTTAAGCATAAAATGATACAACAGATATCTGGCCCCACCCATTGTGCTGGACACACATTGGACTTGGTTTTCTGTCAGGGATGGGAGCAG